CTACATTTTAATTCTTAATCGAGGATAGCCGTAAATGTCTAAGGGCCTCAGCATTCACTTACCATCAGGTGGACTGTGTGCTCGTTTCTAAACCTTATTCTATAAAAAAAGAACTCCCTACATTCGAGAACTTTTTTAGAAGCTGGCACCCCCAGTATACCGGGTCGTCGTCCTGATGTGACACAGAGCCGCGTGCGTTGAACGCGGCCTAGAGGAACCCGTGCGTGGCCCGCGCCACCCCCGGGGTGTTACGGGAGTTACATAATAACGGGCGTGATAAATACCACGTGAGAAACGTCGACTTTCTTACACGATCAAATTAGAACACAACAATTATTATACTAACGACCCGCTCCGACTTCGCCTGGATTTAATTATCGATTAAAAAACACTCTTTTGGATAAAATATATAGCCTGGATCCCTTCTGATATTGCTCTTATCTGTTTGTAAAGTTTCATCAAAATCGCTTCAGACATTCCGAAGATTAAAATTGGTTATTTATGTCTTAATATCATGCAAGTAACACCCTGAGCTTAATTAAAGCAATTATATCAATATTACAGATGCTTCAATTTTATTTATATGTATAGACAAGGTGTCTGAGGCCACTTCTCCCATGTAATATATTATATAGTTCACTGCTAGTTGTTGCTGTGCCATAAATCCGTAAAGAAGATATTACCAATAAAATCGGAATAACTGACGCTATGCTAAAGTAGCAATAAGCCTACCATATAGCTCGAAGAACCGACCACAGCGCCGATGCGCTAGAAATATGCTTGTATTTCATATTTTTCTTTTGATAAACGATACCTCCACACTAGGATTTTCTCCTGTATCGTGGGGGCAGTTTACATACATAAACTTCACAAGAACAAACATCCAGACACAGAGCAAATATTTGTAGGAAATACAAATATTTGTTCCGTGTGGGAATCGAACCCGTTGCCCTTAGCAGTGCCACTCAATGCTAAGCCACTGCGCCAAGGATCCGTTTGGAATTGATTGCGCGACTTAAGGAGTGCCTCCGCAAATTGTGACCCCACGATTAATGCTGCGTGGGACTTTGTTGTAAGTGTTCTAGTTATTTACCTCATTGACATTGGTCACTGTGTTCCAGATACATAATTTGCCATCAAAGAGGAGTTAAGTTATGCATACATTCCACTGAGAACTACCAAATGGAATCTTTGACTATCACCAGCAGTTGATCATAATTTTACGTAACTCACTTTGCGAAACTGTTGTTCTATATTTTTCTGCCAACTTCAGAAAGGAGACGGTACTCAATTCGACTGTATGTTTTTTTTATGTGTGTTACCTCATAACTTCTTACTGGGTGAACCGATTTCGATGATTCTTTTTTTATTTGAAAGCTGGTACTTTACATGTGGTCCCATATGAATTTGATCAAGTTCAGGCCAACAGTTTATGAGTTATTCTTAATAATTTATATTGAAGTCGGCTGTACAAAATTTTTAATTTTTAATTATACAAGGGTAAAAAACAAACACAGTGTAAAAAAATAACAATCTAATATGTTAACGGTTTGTTGTGCTGTGTGACACCTATATCTACCTCCAGGATACGCAACCCCTCAGGACCAGCATGAAATGTCTCAATATTAGTATCGCTGTTCTTATTTTTTCAACCAACTTCAAAAGAAGGTGGAGGTTCTCAATTTGAATGTATTTTTTTAATGTTCAGGACTTTTTTCTAGGTGAACCAATTTTGATGATTCTTGATTTTTGAAAGCTGGTGCTTCTCATGTGGTCCCATATAAATTTGATCAAGATCTGACCAGTAGTTTTTGAGTTATCCTCAATAATGCGTATTTAATTTACTTCAACTAGATTGATGATATTTTGATTTTATTTATATTGAAGTCGGTTGTACAAATTTTTAATTTTACCACTTTATAGGGTTCCGTACCTCAAAAGGAAAAAACGGAACCATTATAGGATCACATTGTTGTCCGTCTGTCTGTCAAGACCCCTTTTCTCAAGAACACGTGGAGGCATCAAACTGAAATTCATATCAAATACTCATGTCTACTGTCCCTTGGAGCTGTGAAAAAATCAAAATTCTAAGCCAACGCAATCAAAAGATACAGCCGTTTATGCCGCAAATTTTCGATATTCGCAAGGGAATCAAAACCTACAGTGTACTTCCCGTGAACTCAGAATCTTAAAATTTGGTACGAAGCAACGTATTATAGCACAGATAAAGGAAAAATTGCGAAAAGCATAAATTTTAGTTACATCGTATGATAACAATATTTTTAATAATTTTAAACTTATATACCTACGGATTTGTTCGGAACCCTCGGTGCGCGAGTCCGACTCGCACTTGGCCGGTTTTTTTTAAATATTTTTAGCCAGTGCTTGACTACTATCCAACCGAGGTCAAGTGGTATGTTAGCTGTAGACGCTAAAACTGAATAATTAAGCTAAATATCCCTTTGAAACAATAGATCTTCAAACACCTGAACAGATTTTCTTGTAACATAGCGAAGAACACTCAATTAAAACACCTTTCATAGGATAAAAACGTAATCAAATTCGGTTCATCTGTTCAGGAGCTATGATGCCACAGACAGACACACAGATACACACTACAAGCATATAACACCCCTCTGTTTTTATCGGGGGTTAAAAAACAAACAGTAGTGATTTTAGTAGTATTTAAACTATCTCATCACTTGAAGGTTAGCTTCTATTACTATCAAATGTTTATATCAAAATAAATGATATCAATAAAATAACTGTTGTGTTTTGGCATTGTAAGAATATCCACTATGCATACTATCATCCAAGGGGTGTGGTAACAGGCATCAGAGGGAAACAAATCAGGAGATCAGTAGCAGTATCTTCCTAATAACAACTAAAAGTATAAAACTGCAGTTGCCAACCTACTTGCCAAGCGTGGCAACTATGGCAAATAACCCCTTCAGGCAATCCATGGCCTATGTTCCGCAGTGATCTTTCATAGGCTGTAACAGTAACAGTGTTTTGTCTAGAAATCAAAGTCCATGTTAAGGATAATAGATTAAAAACAAGGCAAACATCAATATCAGTCATTATAAATTGCTGATTTATAAATATACTATAGTACCGAGGGCAAACACTTTCAGCAACCAGATAAATACAAAGAGTTTAAAGCCCAATCACACTTTACGTTAAAATTACTGTGACCTTTGGGGAACATTTTTTTTTTGGAAGAAACGTTACCCCCACACTATGATTTTCTCCTGTATCGTGGAGGCAGTTTACAAACACAAATTGCACAAGGACAAACATCCAGACACGGAACAATTATTTGTAGGGCATACAAATACTTGTTCCGTGCGGGATTCAAACCCGCACCCCCAGCGCAGCAACTCATTGCTAAGTCACTGCGCCACGGAGCCGTCAATTGTGGTCAAAATGTTTTGTACTAATAACAAATGTTATCTTCAAATTTGTAATTTTTTTGCAACATTATTAATTATAAGTAGAGATCCGCCCCGGCTTCTCACAGGTGATTTCTGGATCTCGACAACAGTGCCACAAAAAAAACATCAAAATTGGTCCAGCCATTTTTGAATTTTTGCACAACTAATGTACAGCAATTGATTACTATATATAGAGATATATTACTAACAATAATTAGAACAGTCAAATTAAAATCTAGTTAGTAACAAAAATATATATTTTTTTAAATTATTATTTTTTCGAAACTACATGATTGTATGTTATATATTATGTATTCATACTCTGTATATTACAATGCATATATTTTAAAAAAACAGTGATTAATAGAAGAGTGTAGACCAAGTCTATATCTCTTTGAATTGTCCAGTATCAGGCCTGCTAGAAAAAAATCAATTGAATAGAACTGATTCAAGAAAAATCACTCTCCTTTTTGTTTTACTCTGTCACAATAGTTTGTGTTCACATACATTGTGTAATTAAGAAATTTCTTTATCGAAATAAGTTGAATCTCACTTTGAAGATTCTACAACTCATACGATTTATTAATTTTTTATCAACGTCATCAGCATTTGACGTTTTGCAAGTTGGAATAAGTTGCCAATAACTCTACACTTAATATGCAGGCTCCTCTCATTGCTTATTGCAGTCGTCCACATTTTACTACTTTGTAAGATATTAATCCCAGTTGAGTTGACAATTTATATGTGGTAGACAACTTGTACATGGTAGAGCCATGCTGCAGCTATATTAGTAGTATAGTTGTAGCACGAATGGGTAGGCTCAACCGGGGAAGGACCACGCTCTCACAGAATACCAGCGTCAAATAGCAGCTTAACACTGCTGTGTTTCGTATGGTGAGTGTAGAGAACCGGAGACCCTTTTTACTGGAAAAGAGGCATTCTATCTTAGTCCTCACGGGTGACAACGCATCTGCATTTTGATTTGAAAATGAGGACAAATGTAGATGTCTATGGGCCACAGCAACCACTTACTATCAGGTGGACTGTGTGCTCGTTTGTCACCCTATCCCATAAAAAAAATATGTATCAGATTATTTTACATTCACATGTGTTACTATTTGTTCAGATTTTTAAATTATAGCATTAATTACATTATTAATATAATACCTACAGAGTAATTTAAATTAAAGTATACATAAACATGCCAAAAAGCAATGAAATATCTGTGAAATATATGAGGGTGACAAGCGAGCACACAGGCTCCCTGATCACATCTAACATCTATCCTCGTATGCGAATATAATGCAGATAGTCAGCCGTGAGGACTTGGAATGCCTCTTTACCAGAAACATAGCAGTATTGAGCTGCTGTTGTACACTGGTATTCTGTGAGAGTGTGGTCCTTCCCCGGTCAAGTCAACCAATTCATGCTACAACTATACTATTAAAATAGCTGTAGCATGGCTCTACCAAATATGAAAAAGCTGTTATCACATATATTTAGATTTATGATACAAAATACACATTACACCTAATAATTCTACTTAATGAATAACCTAAGCCTTACCTTCATATTGTGCAAAACGATTTTTATTTTTTTCTTCTAACTCTTTAGCCTCCTCCAACTTCTTTTTTTCTTTCTCTTCCTTAATTTTCTTCACTAATTCACTATTTCCAACAGGTAATATCGTACTATTTTTTTGTAGAGAAGCTTCGTATTGACTAATATTGTCGTATATTGGGGCATTCTCAATAGGCGCTTTACTCTTGCCGGAGTAAAGAGCTTTAACAGGATCAAAATTTGAACTACATGCACTAACTTCTGATTCTGAAGTAGAAGACTCTTCAGACATTGTTTATTTATTATTTTACTGAAAAAATATTTAAGTTCTCAAACAAAACAACCTAACACCTACACCGGCTCGGTGTGACTTTGACATTTGCTGTCAACCCAACCTGTCATAAAAATCAACATTCAACAACAACTAGCTGGCGTTTTGTTTTATCTTCGTACTTTATTTTATTATTAACATCCTGATCCTTCTATGCGTTTTGTATTTGCAAAAACCGGTTCGTTGTACGCAGTATTTTTTATTCAATAATTCATAAAGTTGTGATTACTTTGATGTTAATAATAATTTTAACTTTTAATGCAGAGTGTAGTGCCCTCTCTGGTCAATATTAGGCGTTTACGGAAACTAGCGCCACCTGCCGTAAAAACGAGAGCAATTTTACCAATCACTATTCTACATAGTGTATTTTATAACTATAGAAACGAAAACGAACCGTACACGGTACGTATAGTACGTACCTCTATAAAACTGTGCGTTTATCTAAATATAACTAAGTACTTATTTATAATTATTTGCAATATTATACATTGAATATAAAGATTAAATATCAAAAAGTAGATAGGGTGCTGAGCTGAAAGATTGGGATTAAAACTCCAATTGAACCAAAGGTATCAAAATTTTATCAAAAATGATCTGGAGATACCACATAATAAATCTAAAGTATCGGGCGCTTCATACAATCCACGTGTTAAACGGATAGAGTATAACCTATAATCTGATTGTGATTATCTATCTTCTGTTTTTTTTTTAAATACTAGTAATGCTATTAAACATTACTAATATTCCCTTTAACCACTTCTGGTAAGCTTAAAATGCTTGTGTTAGAAGTGGTTCACGACAGTAGTTGAATGGCGGATTCGAACCCACGACCTTTCGAGTTCGCGGTCCGTGCCCTGCCATAAGGCTACTGACGCTTCTAGTCAATACCACGACCAATGTCGGTTAACTATTCAAAAAATACACTAACTAACACATATACCCTATAAAGTTTTATATAAAAGTAAGATGATAGTTGAGATTTAAAATAATTTCAACTTTTATCTCTTACCAACACGGCAATTTGTTTATATTAAGTTCGTGTAAGCATATGAGTAATTTAATTTGTATAAATAAGTTATTAGCGAGACGTTCATTGGCAACAATGCGCCCGCTTACAAGGTCCATAGAGTAGGTAATATGCAACAGCAGGAAGTAATTCAATCAAGGTGAAGCCTAAGCGAACAAATCATTTACATAAATGTTTTAACGGAGAAAACTGCTTAAAATAACAAAAAACCTGTTTTTGGAGGTTTTATTTACTTCGTTTGCGGTTTTGTTATTAAACGATTATTTTGACGATTAAAAAAAAAATCGTTGTTTTAAAGCGTTTTCTTGTTTAAAAATAATAGAAGTTGTATCCTTTTTTATTTACAACTACCAGATTATTATTATCTTATTATAAATACCAATAATTATAATAATAAATAAGTGATACACATTGTTTACTCTTTACACGACAGTTTCAATCTTTAAAAGAAATCAATTTCAGATTATACAAATAGATAAAAATATTTAAAAAAACATTGCTTAAGGTGTATGTTTTCTTTTTTTTATTAAATATTATTTTAAAAATTGGAATTTCAAATGATGTGTAAAATTTTATACGTAGTAATATTAGATATTCGTAGTACATAGCTACTATTAGATTTGCTAATTAAGCGCCCTCTTTGCAATCATAACATAATCCTGTTAATGAGCTTGTCTTAAAAAATTCTTTTCTGTTATAAAAATAGCGTTATGCCTTGTGTTGTATTACTCCACATCACATTTTATATATTCCTACCTTTCATCATTGCTATCAAAGTTTATAATATACTTAATCACTAGATACGTATTGCAATGATATAAGGCAGCATGGTGTTCTGGCAAAGGACACTAAAATACTCGAGGTTATTTTTTTAAAGAACGCCTATACTCTGAGGTACCACGGTTCTATTAGTACTAGTTGCCAAAGTTTCATATCAAATATAGTATTTTCTAGGCTAAAAATACTTAAATGGTGAAATATAAAAAAGAAATAATATGGTTAGATTTTTTAGAATCATAGTATGCAGACTCCTATTACAGTAGGATACTTAGGATTGACATTAGTACCTAACTACGTACCTACTTACGAGTTTGACCTGTCAACACTTTCATGTTCTTGATTCAAGTCATTCATTCATTCTTTTCATGAACTTTCCTACGTAATGCTAGTGACTTACTTGGATGCAGGACCTAGATCATTATATAAATATATATTAGAGTATGCAGGAGCTCTTGGGCGATGAATATATTGTTTAAAATGAAATAAATCCTTAAAATCTTGCTTTTAATTGTATTTGCATATAATTTAAGAATTTAGCGATGTAATAAAATGTATATATTGATATATGAATGCAAAGAATTAACGTGTATGCGTGTAACATTAAATTATAATATGTAACCACAGATCATGTTTTCTATGATCTATGATCTGTGTAGTATGTAACCGTAGATAGAAGATACTAAGTCTATGTATGTAAGATGAAGTTAATAGATAAAGAAATTCATGGTATGTAATGATCATGACCACAGATCATAGAAATCATCTGTGGTTATGACAGATTGTATTCGTCCGTTCAAAATTCAAATTTTTGATAGGCCCGGGCTATTTGTGACTGTTGCGTTTCGATTTACGGCAGAATGCAACACTTAACGCTTTAGGATATTGAATATTTAACTCGCGCGCCTTACTAAATATTCATGATACAAACACAAATTCAGTAAAAATGGCTTATGAACATAATAATAACAACTTGTTATAAAAACTAAGAAAGTATCCATGGAAACTAATTTAGAAAATAAAAGTTCATGTTTATGCCCAATAATTAGCTGCTGCGGGAGGGGCACGGGCATTGTTCATTTTTTATCACTAGCGCTTTCGTTCCACCGTTTTTTACTTACAGCAATTCTTCCGTGCATTGTATCTAGGTGTTTAACATGGCATATTATAATGATTTTTATGTTTTAGTGTTGTTTTTGGTTCTACCATACAAAATATAGAAACAGCACCTTACAGGTGATCTGACGATTGAGCACGAACCAAATCATTAGTATCGTCATCACTTACACAGCTTTCGGCTTGCAAAGTCTGTAAAGTTACAGCCTTTATATGTCCCACTGCTGGGCACAGGTCTCCTCTCACTTCTGAGAGGGTTTTAGAGCAAGGTTTTGGGGCTGCTCCAATACCTGTTAGCGGACTTCACATGTGTCTTCGAAATATATTTTTTTTATTTCTCATAGATGCAAGTTTCTTCACGATGTTTTCCTTCGCCGCCGAGCACATGGTATATCAGCACTTAAAATTGCAAATAACAATTTCATTGGTGCCGGCGGGGATCGAACCCGGGTTACTCGCGTACTGTGAAAATTACAGCGAGCGCTAAGCGCCTAACCTACCACGGCTCCACACACAATGACTTGGGTCTTACAGGTGTTCGTTTGACACTTTTACTCTATAAATAAAGTTTTTAATTTTCTTAATTTATTTACTTGCAGAGAGACTTATGCGGACGGTGTATCGTGTTGCATGGCAGCATCTATGCCGCATCGACGCAGGTTCGACATACACCGGGACATCGCCAGGTGACCTCGGGGCACTGCCGCCCTTACAATACTTATAATAACAAAGTATAAACTATTCTTTTACCATAACTTATTAACTTACACTTAATTAAATTTGCATATCTTTTACGGTAAAATTATATCGCATTTTCTAATTATTTTATTTTATAAAATTAAGTGACAAACAAATATGGAGCCACCTGATGGTAGCTATTGCAGTCCACGGACACCTGCAATATAAATTTTTAGCTTATGTGGCCTCGAAAATAGGAAAGTCTATGAACAACACTTCAATATATCTTATTAGATAAGGGGATCAACGATATTAATAAACTAATAAATACATCATAACGCATTGTATTTCATGCGAATATTGACTAGAAGGAAAGGAGCCTTAGGAAATGTGACTATCACTTTCAGCGTGAAGCGACTTTCAATCGTTTTCCCTCTTAGAATCAACAAAGAATACAGAACATATAGATTTTAAATTATATATAAGCTTATGTTTTAAGAACGTGAAAGCCTACGCATTTCTTTTTTACAGGTCGCTGTTGAGGAGGAGTGGATTGAGAGGTGTAAGATAGCCTGGCCGAGAAGCAAGCTTTAAGAAAACAAAGCGCCACATAGAACAGGCAATCTACCTGAAACAGCGACAATACAACGCCAACCGTCATGTGTTCCAAGCAACTTAGTACCTAGTTTATATCAAGATAGTTAACGTCAAATAATGTACGATCCGTCCAAAACGCTGCCAAACGAATTTAAAGTTAGTGTTAATTCAAATAAAATTAAGTTTCGTGTAAATCGCGTGTGCTAGTGTTAGTGAAATTAAGGACAGCGCCATCTGGCGTGTATTAGGCGCGACAACGTGGCGGGGACGCATGCGCCGTCGGGGCCGGCGCTGGCGATGCCATTTATTGAAGACGAATGGTGGGCAGCCGAGAATGAGGGCAGAATGGTTGACCTCTCCAATTGCCTGCAGGTTCGTATCTTCACCCTTGTAAGTATAGAGATTAGACAGTCTATTGTATAAAATATCACTTAAGTGACTGCCTTTATACGTCACACTGCTGGGTTCAGGCCTCCTCTCATTTCTGAGAAGATTTTAGTGTAAGAAAATGTCCGTCGCGCTGCCCCAATGCGTGTTGACGAACTTCATATGTCTTGATTGTTTTTTCTTATTTCGAGATCAAGCGGGCTTCCTCGCGATGGTTCGCCAACGAGCACGTGGTAAATCAGCACTTAAAATCGCAATTAACAATGTCTTTGGTGCCAGCGGGGATCGAACCCGGGTCACTCGCGTACTGTTAAATTTACAGTGAGCGCCTAGCTACCACAGCTTTTTAAAAAAAGCCTGAGCTCAGCTAAAATTTTTT